GTTGGGTTTTTTGGCGGGCGTTGTGCAGCCAAAAAAAAAAAAAAAAAGGGAAAAAAATAAAAAAGCATGAGGTAGGCAGGGCTCCTCACCGTTGGCTCCGGCCGCCTTCACTGCTTCGTTGGCACCGCCCGGTGCGCTTAAAGGCAGCAGGTGATTTCGGGAAGGGTGGCTGTGGAGAGGTTTCGCTCCGGGCGGTGATGGGAAGGCGTTTCAGACCACTGCAGTGGTGAAAATGGCCCGGGAACACCCTGATCAGGCCCGAGGTTGCCTGCGGACCCTCTGAGGTCCATAGACTGCTTCTAGCGGGGAAAGTAAGAACTGCAAGAAACAACCCTACTGACATCAAGTTGTGAGTATATTAACAAGAGGGAGGCCTCACATTATGTACTAGGCAGAGTTTAGGAGTTAGCTGACTGAAAAACGTGGTAGAAACCCATCAATCTGGACAGAAGAACGTCAGCTGTGAATTCCCCACTGTGAAATGTACCCTCCATGGACATCTTCTCTACAGACATTGACACGGCATGTCTGGGAATTTTCCAACATGAGACTTGTTTCACTTGTGAAATTTCCAGGAAAATAAAAATTGGATTTGCAAAGTGTTCTCTGAAACACAAGAAGCCCAGTCTTCACAGTTCCTCGCTCAAATCTGTCAGCTTTGCTGGAAAGCTACAGAGCCGCAGCAGCCAAGGAGCCGGTGACTGAAAGGTACGTTATTATCACCGTGCTGCTAGATGTCAAGCATGGCCTTTTAAGGCAATATTTGTCACAGTTCCTAGGAACATAATTTGGGAAACACCTTGGACTTCCAGATAATTTATTATCCCAAATTTCCAGTTGAAATTTAACATTCAGATTGAAACCAAATTTCAGACTATCCAAAATGCCAAAAGACATCCAGTTTTGGTACTAAAACTGAGCAATTTACTCATCCAAAAATGGTGAGCGATAAGAGTCATTCAAAAGGGAGCTTGCTTGCAAGCCTGTTTTTCTTGGGTATCCCCCCCAATGCACATGCAAACAATGTATTCATGCGTCTTTTTTTCCCTTAGTGGATGCAATCGTACAATAAAAATGAAATTGATATGGGAGCTACAGTCTGCCTCTCACATGACTAAATGAAGCCACATGTTGGCACCTAAAATGTGAATTTGAAAATGCAGCCTTTCCAAATGAAGATCTAGATTTAAGATGGACAACAATAGCAGCCATCGAGTCAGTAAAAGCTCTTGAGAAATCAGAAGTTTGAAATCTTTGAGTTAACATTTCAATAATCAAATTAACTTTGACTTAATAGCATTGCCGTACTCCAGGCTAGTAACAAAATGACAGCAGTTCGCTGCTGAAGTTACAAGTTGTCATATGGTGAGAGCACAGATATGACTATTTGCATTAGTAGTCCCCTTTCTGCAGACGTGCCTCTCCTTTCAGTAACTGGAGATCAATTTTTCAGGAGCATATAGGGATTCTAATTCACGGTTTTCCTTAGAAGAGAGAGATTTTGACTGCACATGAAAGGAACAGAGTACTGCGAGGAGAATGGCATGATCAGCAGCATTTTCTTAATCAGGACATTCCTACAGTGCTGTATGCCTGAGCGCCTTAGAAATAGGCTTTTAATTGTATCTTTGAAAAAAATGGTGCTAGGTTAAAAGCACATGAGCTTACTGCCAGCAAGCAATGAAATTTTGCTTGTCCTCAACTAATAAATAATATATTCTGTAAAAGTTGCTGCAAGAGTATACCGTTGGCTTTTTAGTTAGCGGATTAATTTTCACTTGTTTTGGGGCTCCCTATCCCCATCTATTTTTGTTCTGTTTAAGGTCAAAGATGTAATTGTTACTTGCGTTATTTACAGATCAGACAAAATGAGCACTCTCGTTATACTGTGATTAACACTACTAATCTCTGTCCTCACATATTACAGGATGTAGAGGCCAACTAATTAGGCATGGCTGGCAAACAAATGCCCATGGAGTTGTAGTGATTAACAGACACATAGATGACCACAGAAGCGGCTAGTCCCTTGTGAGTGATCTTGAAGAACCACGCGGCAGCAAACATACGATGTTCCACAGGCCATTTACTTGCAAACTCGACATCCAAATAGCTTGTCCTTTTGTATCAGATGCCAGCGTGGTGTGAGGAGGTTTCCTATTAAGGATTCCCTTCCATTACGTATAGGTCAATAAGCTTGAATAGCATAGACTGTTTTGACAAATCACTTTAAAATAATGGGCCCAATCCTCCAAGTAGGTAAATAAGTGCTAGATTTTGCATATCTGAGTAGGCCCACTGACTTTGAATGGATTTCTTCACCTGAGTGGAACTACATTTTGGTATTTCTAGACAGTGTATTAATTTCAATAAAGGAAGAGTTGTGAGAACTTTCACGCCGTGTGTGAAACCCAAAGGAAACTTTGTTCTCCCTTACTGAAATGAAACCCCTCATGTGGTTCAGGCAAAGTAGAGATACCTGGGTCTTACACATCTGGAAGGAGTGCAGTAACACCAGCCGATAGGTGTGCTCGACACCGTTGCAGTATCACAAATAGGCCAGAAAGTTCTTCACGTTATTTCCGAAAAGAAACAGAAAACAAATTTTAAAACCTTGAAAGTAGCAACAAGCATCGTTGCTTTCTGGGTGGATGTGAAACATTGGGCAATCTGAAGAAAAATCCAGTGACAAAAAGCAGAGGATCAGAATTACGAATCCCAAGGTGCAGAGAGATCAACTGTAAGAGGGAGGTTAGTGCAGAAGCTGGATCAAAGCAGTTATCGTTATTTTTATGTTTTTCTTCACTGAATAATGGCTTTTTCTTAGATCTTCACCTCTAAGAGTTGTGCAAACCTAG